CCAGGGCCTGGGCCCACCTGACCGGCGCTCTCCCTCAGACCAAGGAGAAATACGAGAAGTCCCTGAAGGAGCTAGACCAGGGCACCCCCCAGTACATGGAGAACATGGAGCAGGTGTTCGAGCAGTGCCAGCAGTTCGAGGAGAAGCGGCTGCGCTTCTTCCGGGAGGTCCTGCTGGAGGTGCAGAAGCACCTGGACCTGTCGAACGTGGCCAGGTGAGCGGCGCTGGGGCTGCCCCGCGTGGGGAGAGTTGCCGAGCTCCGGGCCGGGGCCGGCAGCGGTGGGGTCTCCCGGTGCGCCCTGTGCTGCGGTGACCGTGGGGCCAGGCCTCTGGGTGTCTGCGCCCGGCGGTCAGCCTGCAGGAGCTGGCGCCGCCGGCACGCCCCGCCCCCGCACGCGCTCTGGCCTGCAGGGAGGGCGCCTCGGGCGGCCCCGGGTCTGGCCCTGGCCGCCACTCGCCCCCAGGGTCCGGCAGCAGGACTGGCCTCGTGAGTTGAGACCCAGAAGCCAGGATCCCCCCTCACCCTCCCGCCGCGCTCCTGGGGGCCGTGTCAGGGCAGAGACCGCCCTCACTGCACCTCGCTGCCCTCCAGCGGGGCGTCTGGAGGTGGTCAGGGCCAGGGCTGGCCACGGGCAGTTGCCCGGCCTCCTGCACAGAGAATGAGGAGCGGCGGGGCCTGAGACGCGGGCCGGCCCCCGCTGCGTGTGTCTGGGCCCGTTCTGCCTGGCGCTGCTCCACCCTGGCGCAGCGGCCGCGCAGTGGCGGGGATGGAATGGGCAAGACGCGCCCTCCACCACGCTCCGGGGGCCGGGAGTTGGGGTCCGGTGGTGCAGCCCCCGGGCGGTCCTGCCTGTCCCGGCCCTGCCGTCTGCCGTCCTTCGTGGCCGGGCGGCCCCCCAGGCTTGTGGCGCCTTGGGGCGCACTGGCCCGTTCCCCGGCGCCAGTCCCCAGCACGGTCCCATCCGAGGGCCTGGGCGTCGGGCACCCCACACACTCCAGGAGGGCGGCCGAGGCCCGCGGGGCGGCTGTGTGCCGGGCGCACGGTCAGAGCTGGCCGCACCACACCCAGGGACGCCCCTGCCCACTGGCCACTTCCTGTGGGTGGGTGGCCTGGCCGCCTGACAGACAGCGCCCCCGTAGGGCCCCTCTGAGCTCACAGTGTGCAGCTTCCGGGGCGGTTCTGGTCCTGACTGAACGGGACAGATGGCGCCACGCTCGGGCAAGTGCTGTGCCACCGGCCCTGATTATAGCTGACGCGTCGGAGCCAAAGCGTGGCCTCCGCGGTGCGTCGCCGCGGCCGGCCCCGGCCCCTGGAGCAGGGCAGGGCTCGAGGCGCCCCCGGGGAGGCCGCCGGCCCGCCAGCCTCTCGCTTCTCTCTCCGCCTAGCTACAAGCACGTCTACCGCGAGCTGGAGCAGAGCATCAAGGCCGCCGACGCGGTGGAGGACCTGCGCTGGTTCCGCGCCAACCACGGGCCGGGCATGTCCATGAACTGGCCGCAGTTTGAGGTGAGGCCGGCTGCGGTGACCCTGCGGCCGGGGGGAGTCCAGGGGCCTGACCCAGGGCCTCAGAGTACTCAAGCTCGTGTCACCCGTTGGCCGCTGGCGTGCCCTCAGGGCAGGGGACACCCGGAGCCCCCGACTCCTCCGCCAGACGGCACATTCAGCCCCGTGGGTCAGGTTAATGCTCCTCTTTTCCCGTGTTCACGGTCTGAGCCCGCAGCATCTTGACACTGCAAAACATGAAAGCCGGCCATGGGGTCCCTCACACCTGGGCTGGTCACCAGGTGCCCCGTGGCCGCCAAGGGCAGCAGCAGCTACCAGTACTACCCCTTGTCCTCTCAGGGACACATTCTCCCGCCCGGTGGGAGGCCCGGGGGAGTCCCCGAGGGACGTGCCTCGAGCCAGCCCTGTGCCCAGTGTGGGGTGGGGTGGCATTGAGTGGCTGGGCCTGCTGGGGGCCCTGCCTGGTGCGGCTGTCCCCTGGCGCCCCCTGCTGGGGGCCCTGCCCGGCGCTGCTCCCCCAAGGCCCAGGGCCTTCCTGGGGGTTGGGGCCTGGGGTCGGAGTGCGGACCCTGCGCCCCAGCTGCGGCGCGGGGCAAGCACACCCCTGTGACGGCGCACCCTGGGCCTCGGGCTCCGGGAGTCACCTGCCAAGTGCTCCTGGGCCCAGGGTCACCCCGAGAGCCCAGAGGACAGAGTGACCTGAGGGGAAAGTTTGAGGCTGACCGCCGTGGGGGAGGCCGGAGCGCGGGCCTGGACCAGCCTGCGTGTGGCCGCGCGGGTGGCCGTGAGGGTCACGCTTGGCCTTCTCTGACGACTCTGTTTGTTTTCATTTTTCATGCCACGAGGATGAAGTAAGTTTCTCTCTGATGGCTTCCCGCGGAGTGGCGCGGGCCGGCCTCGAGGACTGTGACCTTGGCCACAGCCTGGTTCTGGCTGGGGGCCGCGGTGTCCGGCCGCAGCCGCGCCCGGCTGTCGCCTGCTGGCCTTGCTGTCCTCCGCTGGTCTCAGAGCCACTTGCTTGGGACTGACCGGCCTTTACTCCGCTGTGGGGCCGAGCTCTCCGTCAGCTATTTCAGCTGGCCCTCAGGGGTGGCCTGGACCCGGGCCCGCCTTGCCTCGCTGTCGCCTTCCTCCCGGGGCCTCGGTTTCCTCGCCGGCCGGGTGACAGCGGAGGCTGCTGTG